AAAAAAAAAAAAAGAAAAAGTAACAGTAAGAAAAAGCAAAAAAGAAAAAGCAGCATAAAAAACAGGATAAGGAGAAAAAGATGGCTGCAAGTTCAAGTCCTGACTGGTCATAACAAGAAAAATCAGGATTCCTTTATAAAGAAAGTGCAATGTCTAAGGAAATTTCAACTGTAAGAATTAGGACATAATTACTAAAATGCATGAATGTTCCTGTTTTTAGAATTAGTCCTGGACTATTCAGTAGCCACGTGGATGCCACTGTGTGAAAGGGCCATAATTGTTGCCTGCTGCTTGAACATCTATTTTTTTCCCTTCCAGTGCTTAACAACTCCGGGAGATATTACACTGCAGTTGTGCTAGTGGTTAAGATATTTGGGGATAGGGGCGCCCGGGTGGCTCAGATGGTTAAGTGTCTGCCTTCAGCTCAGGTCATGATTCCAGGGTCCTGGGATCGAGCCCCACATTGGGCTCCTGGCTCAGCGGGGAGCCTGCTTCTCCCTCTTTGTCTGCCTCTTCCCCTGCTCATGCTCTCTCTTTCTCTGTATCTCTGTGTCTCAAATGAATAAATAAAATCTTTAAAAAAAAAAAAAGATATTTGGGGATAAAGTTAACATTGCTGACTAGAAGTATCTCATGATAAATTAACAGAAGTTGAATCTGGATACATCATTAAGGTATAATCAGAAATGATCAGGTGACTCTAGAGAACATTTTTGTAACAAACTATAGAAATGATCCCTGAAAGTAGAGTCTTAGATAACATTTTTGAAATAGGGATCACATTGATATTTCAAAATCCTTACTCTATAGATAAATGTATTTTAATTTTTCCCCTTCTATACTTTTATTTACCTGGGGAAGGAGCTTTTGCGGGGGGGCTACTAACTCTTCAGCTAGCAGAAGAGCATGCTTTTTATCCTCACACATCCTACTTCTGCAAACACAGTAGCCATGCTTCATGGGGAGGGCAGAGCTGGGTACAGCACTCTTGCCATCGGACATCCTTGGACTCTGTCGTTTGCTACTTTAAGTGAACCAGAGAAATAGGCCTTTGCAGAATGACAGAGCCCCAAAGGCTCTGGAATTTACCTCCACTTCAGTAATGCTGAATGTTTTTTAGCATTAGGAAGTGTTATAACGTTTGAATTAATTTTGACTACACTTTGACTTTGGAAGGGAATCATTTCAAATAGATACTGGTACTTTTTGAAATTGATTGCCAAAAATTCTAAAATGCATGTTTTATAGTGTTAGGTTTTAACTAGTCAGGAATATTTTATGTAACCAGTGATAGTTACTCTTGTTTGGAATTTGGTTTAGGTTGTAATGTTTAGCTTTTATTAACTCCTTATTCCTTGCTGTATTTAATGGCATACTTGCCAAGATACCTAGCATGTAAAACAAACAAACAAACAAACAAAAAACCCCACAAGGCTTTTGGGGTGCCTGGGTGGCTCAGTCATTAAGCGTCTGCCTTCAGCTCAGGTCACGATCCCAGGGTCCTGGGACTGAGTCCCGCATGAGGCTCCCCGCTCAGCGGGGAGTCTGCTTCTCCCTCTACCCCTCCTCCCTGCTTGTGCACTTGCACTCTCTCTCGCTCTCTCTCTCAAATAAATAAATAAAATCATTTAAAAAAACAGGCTTTTGATTTTTTTTTTTTAAACAGCTTCATACTGAAGCTGAGACTTACCATAAACAAGTTGAGTGGCAGGTCTGGTATGCTATGTCTTGTTACAAAAAGCTACTGCCAGAATCTTAGTAAACACAATATTTTAAAAAGTTGTCTTTGTATATTCATAACAAAGTATGACAAGTGAGAATTACATTATGCTCTTCCTGTGTCATATTTTACTAAAAATTTGTATCTCGTAGCTCCTGCTGAATTGTTTACTAGTAATGTTAAACAGAACTGATAAATCATTTTTACTTTATATTTTTATATAATCAGGTAACATGAAATATAATTTGATGTACAATTTTGCCTGTTACAGAGGGCGTGCATTATAGTGGTATATACACAAAACATTTTGGCATGACAAGAGGCTGAATAAATAGCTATTTCACTTTAAAAGGAAAAGGCTGTGATCCCTAATAAGTTGATTTTGTGTAAGATGTGATGATTAGGCCGAAGTTCATTTATCTGTCGATGGTTGTCCAATTGTTCCAGCACCACTTATTTGAAAGGCTATCCTTCTTCCACTGAATTGTCTTTGTTCCTTTGTCAAAAATCAGTTGGACACATTTATGTGGTTCTGTTCCAGGGTTCTTTATTCTATTCCTTGATCTGTGTCTATCCCTCCACCAATAACCACAAAGTCCTGATTACTGTAGCTAAACAGTAAGCCTTAACATTGTGTACAGTGATTCCTCCCACATTATTCCTCTTTTCCACACCTGTTACAGCCATTTTAGAAGCTCTGCCTTTTTGTATAAATTTTAGAATAAGCTTGTTTATATCTTCAAAAAAAAATCTCGCTGTGTTATTTAAAATTTTTTATAATTGGGGATGCCTGGGTGGCTCAGTCAGTTAAGCGTCTGCCTTCGGCTCAGGTCATGATCCCGGGGTCCTGGGATCGAGTCCCGCATCAGGCTCCTTGCTCAAGGGAGCCTGCTTCTCCCTCTGCCTCTGCCTCTCCCCCTGCTTGTGCTCTCTCTCTGACAAATAAATAAATAAAATCTTAAAAAAAAATAAAGATTTTTATAATTGGGTCAAAAATATTTAAGATAAAATTTACTGTTTTAAGCATTTTTAAGTATATGATTCAGTACTTAAGCACAGATGCTGCAAAGATTAAAGAATAGTGTGAATACCTTTGTGTCAATACATTTGAAAAAATGAAATAAATTAATGCCTAGAAAAAATTATCCTAAATGACTGAAACAGAAAGAGAAAACCCAAAATATCCTACAACTTTTAAAGAAGTTGAATCAACAGTTAAAAAAAACTTCCACAAATAAAAAATACTGATGCTTTTACAAGGGAGATCTATTAAGTAAGTATTCAAGTTTCACATAATTCTAATCTCATATAATCTCTTCCAGAAATGAGAAGAAATCTCCTCAATTTATAATTATTAAAGGTTAGTTTAACCTTGATACAAAAATGCAACAAGGACAGCAAAAGAAAACTAGATGAATGGTGGTGGCATTCAGAGAAAGGAAGCATGGGGTTTGGGGCTAAGGTCACAAGAACGACTACGTGCCGACAGCAGGAGCTTGTGATTGTCCAGTTAGAGATGTCTAAGCAGCGACCGAGAATACTGGTCTGGAGCGCAAGGAGAAGCTGGGCTGGAGACAGAACTGAGAACCACCCGTACAGAAAGAGCACCGGGGGCGCCTGGGTGG